ACCTTGAATTGGGCCCGGGCTTCAATGGGAAGCCAGTGAAGTTGACGGAGGACTGGAGTCATGTGAGCATAACGCCCCGTCCCCATCAGCAACCTGGCAGCTCTATTTTGCACCAATTGAAGTGTTCGGACTGTCTTCAGGGGAAGCCCCACGTAAAGCGCGTTACAGAAGTCTAGGCGGGAAGTCACCAGCGCGTGTGTCACCGTTGCCAGGCAGTTGTACTCCAGGTAGGGGCGCAGCTGATTAATCAGCCGAAGTCCACACCCTTACAGAGGGAAAGGCCGACATCGAGCACAAACTTCATGAGGAGGTGGTCTGACCATGACAGGGGAGTCAAACAAATTGCTCACCCTCAGATCACCCTCTTCCTGCCCCGTCGAGAAAACCAGGTCCAGTGTGTGTCCACGTTCATGGGTTGGGCCTATGACATGTTGAGACAGCCCCATGGCCATCATGGAGGCCATGAGGTCCTGAGCCGCCCCAGTCAGAACAGTCTCGGCATGGAGATTGAAGTTCCCCAGGACCAGCATCCTGGGAGTCTTCAACACCAGGTCCAAGACGATCTCCTTCAGCTCAGGCAGGGAGTCTGATGGGCAGAAGGGTGCATGGTACACCAGCAGGATTCCCAATCTGTCTCGGTCGCCCAGTGCCAGATAGAGGCACTCTAGACCCGGTCTCGAGAGAACAGGAAGCCCTGCAAGGGAAATTGAAGCTCGATGGATTAAAACGACCCCCCCTCCCCTCCGGACGTGCCTGGTACTGAACCAGATACCCAGGCGGGCACAGTTGAGAGAGGGACACATCCCCCCCCCTCTCCCGCCCAGGTCTCTGTGATGCAAGCCAGGTCGGCCCCCACAATTAGGTCGTGGATGAGGGATGTTTTATTATAGACCGACCTGGCATTAAGTAACAGCACCGTCAGGCCCAAGGGGCGGCTGATAAGCATACCCGGAACCTTCCGGCTGGGGGAATAACCAGAAGGGGAGACAGGTGTCAACCATCTGTCCCTCCTTCTTCTATGTGGACCCGTTAAACCCCCAACTCCATAACGCCCATTGCCCATAACCACCCCAATGGCGGCGCCCACGTGCTCCCCAGGCAACCCCATAGAAGCAGCCCAGTGTGAATCCATTAAAACAATCTGAGTAAAATCCAAATTAAAATACAATAAAAACAATAAGACCCTCCAACCACCCGATTACAAAAGCCCACCCAGAGAGTCTATGGCCAGCCCAGCCCCTGCACGACCCCAAACGGCATCAACGCCCTTAGGCTGCTGCCCGTCGTTGAGTTAATGCCGCGGCCCGGCCCCCAATCCGGCTCAGCTGCCCCCCACGCTGGCTGGGGGGGCGGGGGCAGGGCTCACAGAACACTCGCCGGCAGGGCAGCGGGCCCTCAGGCCGGCAGCGCCCCGGTTCCTGGTCCCGCGGTGGCCGCCGTCCATCCGTCCGTCCGTCCGTCCGTCCCTCGGGGCAGCGTCGGCGTCAGCGGGCGGGTCCTCAGCCAGCCGTGGCGGCGGCGGTGGGCTGTCCATATTTTGTAGTGAATATTTACAAAACTTTTCTGCAGGTGGAAGGCTTGACAATTTAAGCCATTGGCTATTTATTTATATCCCACTTTTTTCCTTCAAGGAACTCCAGGCAGCTTATCTAATTCTCCTCCTCCTCCTTTCAATCTTATCCTCACAACAACAACCCTGTGAGGTAGGTTGGACTGAGATTTAGTGAATGGCCTGAAGTCACTCGGTGAGCTCCATGGCTAGGTAGGAACTAGAACCCAGATTGCGGAAATCACTTTAGCCACTATACTCTAATGGCTTCCACATGCCCCTTAAAGTAGGAGTCCCCAGCCAGTTTGGACGAATGAGAAACAAAGGAACAGAGCGAGTCAGAAGGGGCCTCTGGGCCATCTAGTCTGACCTCCGGCACCAGCTGGCTCCGCTCACAACATGCCCACCATGTGAACGTCCAGCCTATCCTTGAACACCCGCACCGATGGGGCCTCAACGACCTCTCATGGAAGCCCATTCCACACCCTCGGGGTCCTGACTGTCAGGAAGTGCTTCCTGGCATCCAAATGGAACCTTGGCTCCCTGAGCTTTGCTCCGTTGGAGCGCGTCCTGCCTTCCTCTGCAGGGGAGAATAGGTCTCTACCCATCTCCATGTGACATGGAGGCAACATAGCCCTCTGAGTCTCCTCTTCTCCAGGCTGAAGAGACCCAGTTCCCTCAGTCTCGCCTCATACGGCATCCCCTGCAAACCGGCCACCAACCTTGTGGCCCTAGGCTGCACTGACTCCAACCTGGCTATATCCTTTCTGTAATGAGGGGCCCAAAACTGAACACAATACTCCAATTGTGGGCACACCAGAGTCATGTAGAGTGGTAGTAATACCTCTCTGGATCTAGAAACCACATTTCTGGATATGCAACCAAGGGTGGCTTTCGCCCTCTTGACCACCGCATCACACTGCTGACTCATGTTTAGCCTGCAGTCAACCAGCACCCCGAGGTCCCTTTCACAAGTGCTGCTCTCCAGCTACTTGTCCCCTAACCTGTACTTATGACACCTATTCCTATGCCCCAAGCGCAAGACCTTGTACTTATCCACATTGAACACCATCCTGTTGTCTCCTGCCCACTTCCATAGTCTGTCCAGATCCTTTTGAATCTGGAGTACCTACACCTCAGTTGTGGCCACTGCTCCAGTTTTAGTGTCGTCTGCGAATTTGATCAGCAGACTGTTCACCCCTTCTTCCATGTCGTTAATGAAAAGATTAAACAGGATCGTCCCCAGGACAGAGCCCTGGGGGACCCCGCATGTTACTGGCCGCCATCTCGATGATTCCCCGCTAACGGTTACCTTCTGCTTCGGTCAGTCAACCATGCCCTAATCCACTGGACAGTGCTTTGGTGTATCCCAAAACTCCTCAGTTTTTCCACCAGGATGTCTTGGGGCACTTTGTCAAAGGCCTTGCTGAAATCCAGGTAAACCACATCCACTGCATCCCCTCCATCTAGCCATCTCGAAACCTTGTCATAGAATTCCACAAGGTTTGTCTGGCAGGACCTGTTTTTGCGGAAGCCGTGTTGTGTGGCTGTCAGCCCCCCTTCCCTATCTAGCATCACTAGATCTCTCTCTATTATGAGCCTTTCCATTGTTTTTCCTACAATGGACGTAAGGCTAACTGCTCTGTAATTCCCCATGTCTCTTCTACTACCCTTTTTGAAAATTGGGACCACTGATGCCACCCTCCAGTCCTCTGGAACTTCACCCATTCTCCACGAGGCCTCAAAAATGGAGGCCAACGGTCATGAGAGATCCCCTGCCAACTCTTTAAGTACTCTCAGGTGTAACCCGTCAGGGACTGGCGCCTTTGTAATGTCCAATGCCCTGAGGAGCCCCTATCTGTGCCTCTAAGTCCCCAGCCTCATCTAATCTCCTATGCAGATCTCCCCCATCCTGCTTTGGGGAGAACACAGAGGCAAAATAGTTATTTAACATCTGTGCCTGTTCCCTCATATTAGTCACTGGATCTCCTTCCTCCTTATTTAGTGGTCCCACCACTTGTCTCCCCTTCCTCTTCCTATTAACATGCTGAGAGAAGCCCTGTTTTTTATTCTTGATATTCTTGGCAAGTCTCAGCTTGTAATCAGCCTTAGCCTTGCGAGGAATCCTTCTGCAATGGGGTTTCTTCTCCCGGTATACCCTTTTGTCTATTTGCCCCAGTACCCATTCCCTATGGAGGTTCCTCTTTCGTCTAATTCCTCTAACCACCTCCTTTCGCATCTATGGCGGCACTCTCCTCCACCTCCCCACCTTACTAACCAGAAGTATCATCAAGGCTTGCGCCTCCAAAACCTCCCTTTTGAGTGCTATCCACCCCTCCTCTCACCAGATCATACTTTCCTATTCCCAGGAGAGCTTCAAGCTCTTCCTGCTTATTACCCATGCTCCTAGCATTGGTGTACATGCACCTCACCTCCTTCCCACCACTTCCTTTCCTTGGAGTTCCCAGCCCCCTCCTTCCTCCCATCCTCCCTGATACCTGGCCCCTCTCTGTAGGAGTCCTGTCAGTCCCTGCAGTACCTCTAAAACCCTGCTCCCAGAGCCCTGATTCTCTCCCCATACTTGTCCAGTGCAGACACATTACTGGGCGGCCTGAACCCCCTCCCCCCCGGCTCAGTTTAAAGTCTTCTGGACGAAGCTCGCTAGAGCATCTCCAAAGGTCCTTTTCCCCATCCTCGTGAGGTGTAACCCGTCCCTTGCCACAAGTCCATTGGCAAGAAACCGAGTGCCGTGGTTGAGGAACCCGAAGCATTCCTTCTGGCACCACACCCTAAGCTAGTCGTTCACCTCGGAGGACTCCTGTCCCTGCCTGGCCCAAATCCTCAGACAGGTAAAATTGACGAGAAGGCCACTTGGGCCTACAACTCCCTGAGTTTCTTCCCCAAGGCCTCAAAGTCCCTGGTGATCCCAACCACACGCTGCCTGGCCATGTCATTTGTGCCCATATGGATCACCAGGAACGGCTGGTGACCCCCGGAGCAAACAAGACGCTCCACTCTGTCCTTCACATGCCGGATGTGTGCGCCCGGCAGGCAGCAAACCTCCCTTGTCTCCAGGTTGGGGCGGCACACCGCCAGCTCAGTGCCCCTCAGCAGGGAGTCCCGTACAACAATCACCCGCCGCCGTGCCTTCCCGGTGCTGGTGGGCAGCTGTGCCCTGGCCCTCACCTCTCCTGCAGCGGCCCCCTTGCTGCTTGTCGTCCCAGGCTGGGGGTCCTGCTGGTCCCCCGAGGCCTCATCAACCCCAGCCTCCCCAAGTGGAGAGAACCTGCTTCCCAGCTCCAGATTGGTGCAGGAGAAGGAGGAGGCCGTGCTGGCCTCCTCCTCCTGTGGGTGACATGCCTCCACATCTCCCTGGCTGCTCCTCCCGTGGCCTCTCCCTCAACCCTCTGTCCAGAGGGGGGCTGCTCCAGGGGGGCCTGGAGAGCTCTCGGCCCTCAGGCACCTCACCTCCTCTTCTAGCAGGGTCACCATCTTGCACCGAGGGCAAGTGTAGCCCTGCCTCTCCTGGGGGAGAAGGGCGAACATGTCGCAGCTGTCGCAGCGGAAAGCAACACCCGTGACTCCCGCCAGGGCCATCTCCTGGTCTGCCATTGGGATCCCTTCCGAGACCTTACCTTGGTCTCCTGCCTTGTTTGTCCTGCAGTTCCTCTCACTTGCCCAGTTCTCCCAGACAAAAACCCACACGCACACACGCACACACACGGATTAAAAAAAACTTAAATTGGAAGAAAAGCAAAGCACAGCACAGCAGAAACAAAAACAAACAAACCTCTGTGTCTCAGAGAAGGAAGTCTACGGACAGCCCGGGCCGCAGCCAAGGGCCACAGACAAGGGACGACGCCTTATCAATCCCTCAGGCCAGTGGCCCCACCTGTCTTCTTCCTCCTGGCTGCTTTTGCCTTTCTGGCCCCACCCCCCTTCCTCTCCGCTGCTCCTGGCCCTCTGCCCCCCTGCCCAGCTCCTACCTTGCCTTCTCCAGTCCCCTGGCCACTCAGCACTCTCTCCCAGCCTGTGCCTCTGCTGCTCTGCTGCTCTGCCAAGAGGCCAGAGCCAAAAGGGCACATGCTTGGAATTACCTAAAACCAAAAGCAGAGGTGGGGTCTTAGCTCCAAAATCTGCTCCATGAGTCTGCAGTCTCTTTCAAACCTGCAATTAGCTGTTCCGTTCCCCTTTTCACAGAAGATAAGTGGTTGAGGCTGTGAAACAGGTTAGTAGGCCAAGAAACCAAATTAGTGGCAAAGGTGGAATTTGAGCCTGAAATGACAAATAACATATTTGTCCATACAAAGCACAACAGAATACCCGTTTTAAAGGAGTTAGACTTCTGATGCTCAGAAACAAACATATAGTCCAGACAGGGAATGCACACGGCACACACAAAAACCAAGGCAAAACACCAGAAATGCAAAACACCAGAAATGCAGAAATAAATCCAGAAGCAGGACAATGTTGGCAGCATATGCACAAAACCCAGGCAAAAAACACCAATCACATCAAAACAATAAGAATCCTGGGGAATACACATACAGTGTTAAACATTTTTTTAAGGTCAGGTGGGGCAGGGAATCTGGGAGCATCAAGGAGAATCTAGCTGTGAAGCCTTCAGACAAATAGACTTCACAGCAGAAACTTGCAGCTTAGCTCCTTCAGGTAAATTTAGTGGCAGTTTCATATTTAGTAGATAGGATTGCTATTGATAAGAGAAAGTACTTTTACACTTGGCTTATACTAAAGAAAGTTGAAGACAGAAGAAGAAAAGACAGGCCAAAATAAGAGATGGATTGACTCAAGAAAGGAAGTCACAGCCTTGAATTTAGAACAACTAAATAGGGATGTCATGGCTAGGAAAATTTTGGAGAGCTTTCATTCATAGGGTAGCCATAAGTTGGAGATGACTTGATGGCACATGACAACAAATATGCTATTTTGCAATGGAAATCCTGGAATATCTTATGAGCAGGGGTTTTTTTTTGCAAAGGCTCGTGTATTCAGAGCTCCTTGCACATCCTCTTTTTCCATTTCAGTGTCTCGGCGAAGCAGTGAAGAAATGAAGCGGGACATTACTGCTCCCGATGGAGCATCTCCAGCCTCCCTTATAGCCATAGGGACTACTTCACCACAGCTGTCCCTTTCATCTTCCCCTACAGCATCTATCACCCCTACGACCCGCAATCGAATAAGGTAAGAGCTCCATGTTAACTGAACTGGGGTTGAATGTTCTTTATGCAGGAATCTCTTATTCCTATACCTTTGGGAAACTCCTCAGTGTTTTGCAGGCCTCTTGGTAGATAAAGATTACACTTTTGAATTAACTAAAAGGCAGTTCTTTGTGGTCTTTGTGCATCATATGTACAGGCTTGTATGCCTGCACAAGGAAGGCCTAGACTGGAAAAACTTCAATAACTTAGCATTTTGGAATGGGTGCGGGGCCTCCCCTTCTAGTACATAAAGGAGGGGCTCCCGCCCAGTCCCTCAGTTCCTTTTTGACTGTCATCGTGTAGACTGGGAATCTCTTCACTCCACTTCCACTGCTAAGTTCCTTGACTCTCTCTTGCTTTCTCTCTCCTCTTCCATTCCTCTTTTTTGCATTAACTTTCAAACATTCCGTTTTCACCCTTTCAAAAAAAAGTCAGTCCCTTTTGCCAAAAATATATATTTCTACCCATCTTTCCTCTCATCCTACCAGTTCCCACCTGTCTTCCTCTCCACTTCCCTCTCTTCCGCCACCCCCATCTGCACAATGGTGTTGGCGGCCTTTCATAGCTGTACCTCCTGTGGGCCCAGTCTACCTCCTTCCAATGGCCATTCATTCTGTCTCCTTTGCCTTGGTGAGGTGCAAACATTTCCAGGCCTTCAAAAAGCAAACCCTCCACCACTGGGCTGATTGGCTAAAACTTGAACTTGGAAGAGGGACCTCTGCATGGCCAACTCCTTGATAGAGGCCCTGGATTGCCCCTCCACCACCAATGACCAAGAGACCATGGGGGCCACCAAATGCCTCAAGAAAATTGGCACTGCTCTGTCCCAGAAAAAGTTCTGCATGAGTCCCCAGCCCCTGACCCCACCTCAGCTGCCGGGTCCCCAGCAGCCACCTGCCAACCCCACCACCAGCTGAGCTACTTACCAAGCCAATGGGAGAGGCACTGGGACACTCACCTGACCACCATGCAGTCGCCCCTGCCCCTCACGGCCATGCACACCAACCCCCAGCAAGCAATATACAGCCTGAATGGCCTCCAGCTCCCCTCTGATTCTGCCAGAGGTATTAAAACTTGACCCAGACTTATGAGCTTCTGGTGGCTCCCTTTACACTGGTGGTTAGAACAGGCTTAATACCAAAAGCATGGACCAATGCCATAGTGGTGCCAATTTATATAAAAAAGGAGATCATACATGCCCACAGCCCTAAGCACCACTTGCCCTCGCTTTTGCTGCAGGGCAGGCCAGGGGACTGGCTCCCAGGGGAAGCATTCCTCTGAAAATGGTCATCTGTGCATTCACACACATGGGCTTGCACAAGGCCTAATGAGCAGGACTCCTTCTGGCTCCCGTATATATAGGGGAGTGGCTCCTGCCTAGTCCCTCAGTTCCCTTCGAGACCACAATGAGTTTCTAGGCTGAGGGTAGGTGCAGGAGGAGAGGTATCTCACCCAATCCAGTCCCAGCATCTGCAGGTAAAAAAATAGGATGTGGCAACAGCCAGTGGGGCAGGTTGTGTGAATGCACAATGACCGCTCAAAAAATGACAGTTACAGGTAAGCAACCTGCTGTTCTTCATGGTTTCTGTGCATCACACGTAAACGTGACTAGCAAGCTTGCCCTTTATCGGGTGGAGAAGAGGCTGCCATCACTGAGGAATGGATGAGGGGACTACTCTGCTGAAGGCACCGTCTTTCCTCACATAGATGTCCTGCCAGTAGTGCCTCACGAAGACGAGGATGTGGACCAAGTGGCAGCTCTGCAGATGTCGGGAGCTCTGGCCAGGGGGCTGTTGATGTGGCCAGGGCTCGTGGAATGGTCATGAGGGCATGCCGCAAGGAGGAGTCCTGCCATCTTGTAAACTAGTTCATGGTGCTGGAGACCCGTCTGGCTGTTCTCTGTGATGATACGGGATCTCCCTTTTTGTGGCTGTCATAGCACACAAAGAGCTTGGGGGAATGGCAGAGTGCTTCTGTCCTGGCTTTGTAGAAGGCAGGAGTTCTCTTCATGTCCAGTAGATGCAGAGTGGACTCTATCCAAGTGGACGGGTTGTGAAGAAGGCCAGGAGGGTGATGTCTTGGTTATGTGGAAGGAGGAGGTGATCTTTTTTTTAACTTTTGTATGCCATCCTTTATATAAATATCTCAGACCTTGGGCCTGAAAGCTGATCAGGGCAGAGAACAGCCTTGTCCCTGTGGAAGGTGAGGTCGGGGATGTCCACTTGGAGTGTGATGAACCTGCTGATGCATCAGGCTGATGTGATGGCTATGAGGAAAGCCATTTTTCAAGACATGAGGTGCAAGTCCATTGTGGCAAGGGGCTCAAAGGACTTGCAGGACAACCAGCAGGGTCCAAGGAAGAGGTGATTGTGTGAAGCTCCTCAGGAAACTGTGGAGATCGGGGGTATGTGAACGTGGAGGCCACCTTGATTTATGGATGGAAGGATGAGATGGCTGCTAGGTATGCACAGATGGATGATTTTTTTGGCTTCTTTTTGGCTCTGGCCTCTTGGCAGAGCAGCAGAGGCACAGGCTGGGAGAGGGTGCTGAGGGGCCAGGGGACTGGCGAAGGCAAGGTAGGAGCTGGGCCTCTTAGTGTAGTCCCTTGTCTGTGTCCCTTAGCTGTGGCCCGGGCTGCCCGAGGACTCCCTTTCCTGGGAGGCTAACGGGGGTTTTTTTAATTGCATTGTCTTTCTTTCTTTCTTTGTTTTTGTTTTGTTTTGTTCTTTGCTTTGCTTTGCTTTGCTTTTCCTCCAATTTAAATTTTATTTTCTCCTTGCATTTGTGTGTGTGTGTTTTTGTCTGGGAGAACTGGGCGAGTGAGGGGTACTGCAGGACAGACAAGGCGGGGGACCAAGGTAGGGTCTCGGAAGAGTTCCCAATGGCAGACCAGGAGATGGCCTTGGCAGGAGTCATGGGTGTTGTTGTCCACTGCGACAGCTGTGACATGTTTGCCCTTCTCCCCCAGGAGAGGCAGGGTTACACTTGCCCTTGGTGTAAGCTGGTGGTCCTGCTAGAGGAGGAGGTGAGGTGCCTGAGGGCCGAGAGAGCTCTCCAGGCCCCCCCGGAGCAGCCCCCCTCTGGACAGAGGGTTGAGGGAGAGGCCACGGGAGGAGCAGTCAGGGAGACATGGAGGCATGTCACCCACAGGAGGAGGAGGCCAGTACGGCCTCCTCCGTCTCCTGGCACCAATCTGGAGCTGGGAAGCAGGTTCTCTCCACTTGGGGAGGCTGGGGTTGATGAGGCCTCGGGGGACCAGCAGGACCCCCAGCCTGGGATGACAAGCAGCAAGGGGGCCACTGCAGGAGAGGCGAGGGCCAGGGCACAACCGCCCACCAACACCAGGAAGGCACGGCGGTTGGTGATTGTTGTTGGGGACTCCCTGCTGAGGGGCACTGAGGCAGCGGTGTGCCGCCCCAACCTGGAGACAAGGGAGGTTTGCTGCCTGCCAGGCGCACGCATCCGACATGTGAAGGACAGAGTGGAGCGTCTTGTTCACTCCAGTGTCACCAGTCACTCCTGGTGATCCATGTGGGCACAAATGATGTGGCCAGGCAGGGTATGGTTGGGATCACCAGGGACTTTGAGGCCTTGGGGAAGAAACTCAGGGAGTTGTAGGCCCAAGTGGCCTTCTCGTCAATCTTACCTGTCCGAGGATTTGGGCCAGGAAGGAACAGGAGGGCCTCCGAGGTGAACGACTGGCTTAGGGTGTGGTGCCAGAAGGAATGCTTCCGGTTCCTCGACCACGGCACTCGGTTTCTTGCCAATGGACTTGTGGCAAGGGACGGGTTACACCTCACGAGGATGGGGAAAAGGACCTTTGGAGATGCTCTAGCGAGCTTCGTCCAGAAGACTTTAAACTGAGCCGGGGGGGGGGCGGTTTCAGGCCCCCCAGAAATGTGACTGTGCTGGACAAGTGTGGGGATAGGATCAGGGCTCTGGGAGCAGGGTTTTAGAGGTACTGCAGGGATTGACAGGACTCCTACAGAGAGGGGCCAGGTATCAGGGATGATGGGAGGAAGGAGGAGGCTGGGAACTCCAAGGAAAGGAAGTGGTGGGAAGGAGTTGAGGTGCATGTACACCAATGCTAGGAGCATGGGTAATAAGCAGGAAGAGCTTGAAGCTCTCCTGGGAATAGGAGGGTATGACCTGGTGGGAATCACAGAAACTTGGTGGGATGAAAGGCAAGTCTAGAATGTGAACATTGAGGGGTATCACCATTTTAGAAAGGACAGGAAGGGAAAGAGAGGTCGGGGCATAGCTTTATATGTCAGGGAAGGAATAGGATGCAGTGAGACAGAATGCAGGACAGATGGGGATTCGGTAGAGGCAGTCTGGGTGAAACTTAGGGGTTTTGACAGGGAAAGGGACCTGACAGTGGGGGTATGTTATCGCCCTCCAGGTCATCTTAAGACCCTGGATGATGGCCTGACAGACAAGATTCTAAGGATATCTCGGGGGAGAAACACAGAAATTAAGGGAGATTTCAATCTCCCAGATATTACTTGAGAGACAGCCAGGTCACGTCGCTTCCTAGAAGCTATTGAGGGAGGGTTTTTCACACAGAGGGTCTGAGGTGATGAGGGGGGGAACATCCTTGACTTGGTCTTGATCAATTGAGAGGAGCTGATAGATGAAGTACAGATTAGGGGAGCTCTGGATGCGAGTGATCACTCCATCCTTTGCTTTGAAATCAGGGGACTGGGGACGTGCAGCAGGTCGAGGACTAGAAGCTGGGAATTCAAGAGGGCCAACTTTGGCCAACTGAAGGCCAGACTGGGGAAAGTCTCCTGGGATAGGTTACTGGAAGGCAAGGGAGTTGAGGAGGGGTGGATGGCACTCAAAAGGGAGGTTTTGGAGGCGCAAGCCTTGACGATACCTCTAGTCAGTAAGGTGGGGAGGCGGAGGAGAGTGCCACCATGGATGTGAAAGGAGGTGGTTAGAGGGATTAGATGAAAGAGGAACCTCCATAGGGAATGGGTACTGGGGCAAATAGACAAAAGGGTATACCGGGAGAAGAAACCCCATTGCAGAAGGATTCTTCGCAAGGCTAAGGCTGATTACAAGCTGAGACTTGCCAAGAATATCAAGAATAAAAAACAGGGCTTTTTTCAGCATGTAAATAGGAAGAGGATGGGGAGACAAGTGGTGGGACCACTAAATAAGGAGGAAGGAGATCCAGTGACTAATATGAGGGAACAGGCACAGATGTTAAATAACTATTTTGCCTCTGTGTTCTCCCCAAAGCAGGATGGGGGAGATCTGCATAGGAGATTAGATGAGGCTGGGGACTTAGAGGCACAGATAGGGGCTCCTCAGGGCATTGGACATTACAAAGGCGCCAGTCCCTGACGGGTTACACCGAAGAGCACTTTGAGAGTTGGCAGGGGATCTCTCATGACCGTTGGCCTCCATTTTTGAGGCCTCGTGGAGAATGGGTGAAGTTCCAGAGGACTGGAGGGTGGCATCAGTGGTCCCAATTTTCAAAAAGGGTAGTAGAAGGGACATGGGGAATTACAGAGCAGTTAGCCTTACGTCCATTGTAGGAAAAACAATGGAAAGGCTTATAATAGAGAGACATCTAGTGATGCTAAATAGGGAAGGGAAGCTGACAGCCACACAACACAGCTTCTGCAAAAACTGGTCCTGCCAGACAAACCTTGTGGAATTCAATGACAGGGTTTCAAGATGGCTAGATCGGAGGGGATGCAGTGGATGTGGTTTACCTGGATTTCAGCAAGGCCTTTGACAAAGTGCCCCATGTTATACTGGTGGAGAAACTGAGGAGTTTTGGGATACACCAAAGCACTGTCCAGTGGATTAGGGCATAGTTGACTGACCGAAAGCAGAGGGTAATCTTTAGTGGAGTATCATCGGGATGGTGGCCAGTGACAAGCAGGGTCCTCCAGGGCTCTGTCCTGGGGCCAATCCTGTTTAATCTTTTCATTAACGACATGGAAGAAGGGATGAACAGTCTGCTGATCAAATTCGCAGACGACACTAAAACTGGAGCAGTGGCCACAACTGAGGAGCAGGTACACCAGATCCAAAAGGATCTAGACAGACTATGGAAGTGGGCAGGAGACAACAGGATGGTGTTCCATGTGGATAAATGGAAGGCCTTGCACTTGGGGCATAGGAATAGCTGTCATAAGTACAGGTTAGGTGAGAAGTGGCTGGAGAGCAGCACTTGTGAAAGGGACCTTGGGGTGCTGGTTGACCGTAGGCTAAACATGAGTCAGCAGAGTGATGCGGTGGTCAAGAGGGCGAACGCCACCCTTGGTTGCATAGCCAGAAGTGTGACTTCTAGATTGAGAGGTATTACTAGCACTCTTTATGACTCTGGTGCGCCCGCAACTGGAGTATTGTGCTTAGTTTTGGGCCCCTCATTACAGAAAGGATATAGCCAGTTTAGAGTCAGTGCAGCGCAGGGCCACAAGGTTGGTGGCCGGTTTGCAGGAGATGCCGTATGAGGCGAGACTGAGGGAACTGGGTCTCTTCAGCCTGGAGAAGAGGAGACTCAGAGGGGATATGTTGCCTCCATGTCACATGGAGATGGGTAGAGACCTGTTCTCCCCTGCAGAGGAAGGCAGAACATGCTCCAACGGAGCAAAGCTCAGGGAGCCAAGGTTCCATTTAGATTCCAGGAAGCAGTTAGGACCCTGAGGGTGTGGAATGTGAAGTCGTTGAGGCCCCATCGGTGAGGGTGTTCCAAGGATAGGCGGGACGTGCACATGGAGGGCATGTCGTGAGCGGAGCCGGCTGGTGCCGGAGGTCAGAGTAGGTGGCCTGGGAGGCCCCTTCTTACTTGCTCTGGTTTTATGTTTCTATGATCGGTGGAGGCCATTATGCAAGTGGTTTTACAGGAATGTGAGGATGTTCATTGGAGGTGTTCCTATGGTTAATGCCCTTGTAGAGGGCAAATGCTCAAAGGCATTCCATCTTACAACGTAAGACTTCCTTGTATTTGGTTTAAGAGCTACCGACAGGATGGCAGGATGGCAAGGCGGTGGGCCTACGCAGCCTGGGATGATTCTGAAGAAGAATCAAAGAATGACAGTTAACAGGTAAACAGGTAAATTCTACTGCCGTGGCCCTTTCATGAGGATTACTCTTCATCCTGAACCCTAGTGAATGTGCCTGCTTCGGAGAGTGCTTTTGTGGGAGCTGGTTTGTCCTGGCCTGCTCATGGAGCATTCTTAATAGGTTATGGAGTGGGTGATATACACCTATGTCCAATGAAGGCATCTGTGCCTGTGGCACCCTGCCAGTGCCAGTGTGCAACCTTCTGTGGTTGAGCTTGATTTGTAGGTTGTGGTACTGGAACAGGTCTTCCAACTGAGTCTCTATAATTGTTTGATTCTGGCAGTGCTAGGCAATGTTCTTCATGTACATCACATATATGGACTCTGCACCTATGCAGTAGCTGTATTCAGGAAGATTTTCCTATATAGGCTCAGTATTTTTGGCAGGACCCCTGCTCCCTTCCCTCTAGCGTAAACAGGCAAGGCTCCCACCATTTTCCCCAGTTCAC